AAAATAGTCCACAACCCAGATGTTATTACCATCAATAAATATCTTTCTGATATCACTATTCACTGTCTCAAATGCCCCTTATTTTTCCTGATAGAGAACCAGAAAGCCTATTCTTTGAACTGGGGTTGGTATGCTGTACTGAAAGAAACTTGCTATCTAATGAAGGACAGCTAGGAAAGTCTCGGGAGTGGCGCTGAGGGAGGTCACCTTTGTGGGGCTTCCTTTGGATTATGGAACCAGGTTGGTAAATCAGGTAACCTATGGAACAAGAGGAACATGTTGACACACATGTTTGGGGGCCTTGTACAGGATGAAGATGTAATCGGCCATTAAACAGTTATAACCAGTATTAATGAGCCATTAAAAGGAGAGGAAACCTTGCATTCCTGTTCTACTCCTCTCTGCTTTTTATCCTGTGAAATCTCAATGGATTTGGGTTGGGAATATTTACTTGTTAACCATACAGTTATCACAGACATGACATAGGTAATCCTAATACCAATGGCAGTCTGCCCCACAGAGCCCCCACATGACTTGTCAACTGCTTTTGCAGGCAACTGTGAGCAGTTCTGCCTGTACTCCCAAGTCAAACAGGACTGATCAGCTGTGTTAGTGAGTCATCCAAAAAGGCAATGGACAGGGTCTATTAAGTGAGTTTAGCACCACACTGTCCAGAGTCACACACACACACACACAAAGTTCCTTGTCAGTTTGAAACACAGGCAGAATAAGCTCATGACTTTCTGGCAGAGACTTTGTAGACACTCCGTTTTTACCACTCTCCTTTTCCCCCTGGTAAGCATGTATTATCCTGCTTGGAAATGTAAGGCATACTGAGATATACATCCTGGGCAGAGGAGAGACAAAGTTTTGACAGGCTCCTGGAAAGTGTGCTGTTGAATATTTGGAGAGTAAATAAGAACTCTAGTATCTTTCTCCCTTTTGAGAAGTGTTCATTTTGTCTATATATTTCAAAATCCAGTGCTCTAAATCTGTGGAGGCATGTAGTGCTTGCACAGAGCAAGAGATGCTTGGCTCTTAGAATGAGGCAGGTCATATAATCAAAACTGTGCTTTGCATACTGGAATTCCAATGAAAGTTTAGCATTAAAGGAGTCTAAAAATTAAATGTGCCTATGTACTTTAACCAAATCTTTGTGCTCCTCTGAGAATTTCATGTTTTAATACATTTTACCTCAGTAAACATAGATATTTGCCCAAATATCGCTGGGTAAGGATACCATTAAGAAGTGGTTTGTATTTCTGTTCATGGTATAGTCTGTCTTTTCCAATGGTAGTGGGTATTTTGGTGATAAAAAAATCTAATTGTTGCCACCTTCTGACACTAAATCACCACAATACCCTTCCTGCTCAGCTTGGTAGCAAGAAGGCACCCAGATGAACTGAGAGCCTTAGAGTGTTTGTTGCTACCCTAGCAGCTTCTGGCAGTCATTTGCAGTGCTTCTACATTAATTTCATAGTGCTAACACAGCTATGAATTTGATATGAAATTATGTTTAAAGTAAAATAATTCTCTTTGAGTTCAGCTCTCGTGTAAGAAGTACCTGAGCCCCTTGATTCAATCGCCTCAGTATGTCAGATTGCCTAGAGCTCATGATCAAATTGCTTTAATTCCCTTCCTTAAAGGTCATGTAAACATGTGTGCTTAGTGAATTAGATGCAAATTCAATTCCCTATTCACAAAGCTTCCTAGTTGAGTTCCCTACCTATCCCTCACATGCAAGCCTACGTCTGACAGCAGAATATTGACTTTTGAACTGTGGTCAAAGACATGATTAAACAAAGAAAACAACTGCACCATGCATTGTAGACAACACTGATAGAGGGAAGTGAAGCTACGTTTGTTCCAAATGGTGCTCATTGTAGAGGTTAATGAACTCACTTTTTAACATGATTGTTCCACGATTTTATTTGGTTTTTTACACTGTGTTTTTGTAGGGGTGGTATGCACTGAAGAGCAATGAGTAGATGTCTAGGTACCAATGCCTGGATTTTATTGGACATGTTACTGTAATTAAGGACAGCTTAAGCATCCTTCCTAACAACAAGGTATGTTAAAACAAAAAAATGGAAATAATGAATATCAGTTTAAAATCATCTCCATCAAAGACAAAATGAAACACACTGAACAGTTTACCATTTCAATAATAATAACAGAGCAAATTTTTTGATTCTGTCATTCCAGTTCATCTGTAAATAATGGCTTCATGCTGATATTCATAATTCTGCAAATAAAGTTATTACATTTATGATCTTATTGCTAGATCTTTCCTTATAAGTAATGCCTAATTATCTGCATACCATTATTCTAACTCTTATTACCGTAGTTTACTCCACAGATCTGTACAGCACAGTACCTTACCTCTGACTGGGGCTGGTGATGGAAAGAAAAAAACCAACACAGCCTCAGTTTTTCCCAGACATCTATTAATAGTTTTCTGGGAATAGTTGGTCTGAAATAATCCTGCATTCATTGTTTAGAACTTTTCAGCTGTGCCAGACCTGAAATCTGAAGATGGTAAGTCCCAAAAAGTCACCAGGTTTGTATCATAATTAGATTTGGCAAAGAATGAGATCTCAACTTCTATGTTTGCCTCTAGGTTTTCAAGCTCTAGGTTGCACATTTTCAAGAATTTTCAAGGACCAGAAGGACAAAAACATCTTTCAAGAATGTAAAAATCTCAGATGAAAACAAACAAACAAACAAACAAACAGAAACTACAAAGCAACAAGTCACCCACACCTGTTGTCATGCTCAGTAAACCATCAGATACAAGAAAAGCTGTGGGATTGTCTAGGGCAGACAATTCTCCAGAAGTACTTTGATGCTTACCACAGGCAGTATTTTTTCCAGGTGTATCACCCAACAGACAAACCTCGCTGTGGGAAGATCCACAGTTCTTGTTAGGCCTCAAGACTTCTCAAATTGCATGAAGTTACAGCACTGTTAGAAAGGAAAAGAGAAATTTCTTGGTACAATGTGATTTGCTAAGTGTCATGACAGGTCAGAATCATGAGGAAAAGGTAGACAGCAAAATATTTCTAGTGAAAGGGGCTGGCATACATGCAAATTCATCATTCTTATCAATAAACCACTCCCTGCAGGCTTACCAAAGATAAAGCATACAGCTACCTAATGGGTTCTGCATGAGATGAACCAGCACTCGTACCCTTAGGTCAGAACAAGACGAGTATCAGCCTTGAGGTCCCACTGGCATCTTGGTGTCTGCACTTCTTCCTTTCAGAAATAAATTAACAGCAATATTGGCCAGCAGATTTATTTTAAAAAAAAAAGTATCAGTAACTGGAATAAAAGACTACAGGGAATTAAACCTAACAGCCCATCTGAATAGTTAGTATCTTCTGCTAAAGTAAAATATTTCAAATGTTGAAACCCTTATGTTTTCTCACCTGAGAAGTTTAAAAAAATTAGTCAAGAAGCTCTCTGGACCACTAGAGTTAGTTTTCATTATCAAATCTTGGGAAAGAAAGGATATCTCAAAGAATTGCTGACTTGCCAAAGCAGTTATAGTATTTAAAGAAAATGGCCCAGGAAATGATATATCAGTTATTCTGATACTAATCTTAGGGGAAAAAAAAAGGAAGCCAGACAAATTCAGCACTCTATCAACAGGGAATTACATATTAAAAATAAAGCTATATTATTCAATGTAGTTTCAGAGAAAGTAGTTCTTGTCAAATTATCTTCTTGAAGGTTTTCTTACAAGATTATAGGTCTGGTTGACGAAGGTAGCTGTGTTGCTATGGTGTAATTAAATTTCACTAAGGCATTTGACATACTACACATGACATTTTGTTTTAAAATCCTGCATTACATGTAATTAACGGAGCACTCAAAATGTATACATTAATGGAAAGGTATTAATTATCTGGGCCATTACTAACAAGACACTGAAGGACTCTTGGTCCTAAACCATTTTAAACCCTTGTTTGAAAATAATCTGAACACTGGGTGTAGTTTGCAGGGGACACAAAGTTGATGCAATCAGGAGTCAGCTGTTACAGACTGTGCTGAATCACCTGGATAGGTGACCTGAATTCAGTGCAGGAGTTTGAACGCATTGAAATGCTGTGAACAGGCAGCCAAACGTTGCAGAGTGGAGATGCCAGCCCATGCCCCCAGAAGAAATGACCTGTGCATCTTTGGAAGCATGAAAAACTCACCCGAAATGGATGCAGAGGAGAAACCTAATCTTTGATGTTAGGCAAAATGAAGTAAGGTTGTATGGGTATGAGAGTGGTGCCAGAGTAAGCTCTGGAGAAATGAGTGAAGAAGAATAGGGGTGAGTTGATTATTTGTATCCTACAGGGAAATTTGAGGGGCCAGGGCAGCTGTGGGGAGAGGAGGTCAGAGAGGGGTAGCGAGGTGAGGAAGTGGGCAGTGCTGAAATGCAGCTCCTGGTGTCAGCCCACCCCTTACCCATCCTGCAGATGCCTGACCATGGCTACTCACAACTATCTCTATTCCCACAGCCGCCCTTAACTCTTCACCCTGCAACAGCTGGAGCGGGTAAGAGGGCTGGCAGCCACCACTGGGGCATCAGCATTTCTCTCTCTAAGGACCTTTCAAGGAGAAACAAATAATGTGGATCCTGTGGCTAGAGATTAAATGGTACTAGTGGTCCTTTCTGGCTTCAGATACCATGAATCACCCCACACTGCCTGGCTGGGCTTTCCTTCTTGGTTGAAGATCTACTGGGGAAAAAGTAGAGCTGATCTCTAATCTCTTGGCAAAACTCAAATGTCCTTGTAGGTCTGATAATCTTTGATTAATTTTGTGTTTCTTTGCCTGTTCAAACAGTATTTGGTATTTCCCAAGGAAAAAGAACTGGAATCACTAAAAGAACATAGGAACATGTTGCAAATGGGTATGTAGCAATCCTACTTAATAGTTATTTGCAATGGCCAGTATCTCCATGCTTAAGCTCTCCATGACAGTGAAAGTCATGATAATATTTTATATTTCACTTGGGCAGCACACATACTAAAATTGGAATGATACAGAGAAGATTAGCATGGCCCCTGCACAAGGATGACACACAGATTCATGAAGTGTTACAAAATTTTTTTGAGCCAGCAATGTACCCAGCAGGACTAGGAGAGTGATTGTCCCTCTGTACTGGACAGTGGTGAGGCTGCACCTTGAGTTCTGTGTCCAGTTTTGGGCCCCTCACTACAAGAAGGACATGAAGTGCTGGAGCAAGTCCAGAGAAGGGCAACAGAGCTGGCGAAGGTTCTAGAGTAAGTCCTATGAGGAGCGGCTGAAGGAGTTGGGGTTGTTTAGCCTGAAGAAAAGGAGGCTCAAGGGAGACCTTATCACCCTCTACAACTACTGAAAGGCGGCTGTAGCAAGATGGGGGTTGGCCACTACTCTTAGGCAACAAGAAACAGGACAAGAGGAAATGACCTCAGGTTGTACCAGGAGATGTTCAGGTTGGACATTAGGAATATTTTCTTCACTGAAAGGGTTGTCAAGCATGGGAATGAGCTGCCCAGGGAAGTGGTAGAGTCACCATTCCTGAAGTGTTCAAGAAATGACTGGACACTTAGTGCCATGGTTTAGTTGACATGGTGGTGTTTGATCAAAGGCTGGACTTGATGATTTCAGATGTCTTTTCCAACCCTAATGATTCTATGATTTTACTATCTATTTAGTTTAACACTTTATGTATCAGGAAAAATTTCAGGTTAGTGCATTCTCTTTAAACATTAAAGTATTTGTCCAACAGCTAATATTGAAAAAACACACCCTGAAATCCAGATCTGAAAGTCTTTAGAGCAGTTTCACTTAGTGCATAGACCAATTAGTTCACTGCTCCATGCTAAACCAAACCCTCAACCTGTTAGTTTTCAAAATCTGAACTTCAACATAATTTTATTAATAACCAGTACCTTTATAATATGTCAAATTAAGCCAAAATCCTTTGTGCAAGGGGCATACTGTTTGGATTTTAAAAATCCACGTGAAACTTGAATTTGTTGGTTAGAATCCAATACTAATTAAAATTCAACAGAATCCAACAGACCTTTGATAATTACATCAAAAGTTCATTTTCATTTGATGTGGATTGTCTATATTTCATTGTTACTCTCTTAAAAGTTTATTTATGTACAAAGAGTTAGAAAAGAGTATTAATATTTAAAAAGTGGAACTATAAGGGCAAACACTGATTCAGCATATGTTTTAATGTATTAAATGTTTGCTTTATTCTGCTTAAAACCATCACTTGAGACATTATTTTTTGCATAAAAAGAGATCTACAAAGATTCTTAGTAAAATATATTTCTAGTGGAACAAGAAGTTTAGCTTGTTTACTGGAGACTTGATTCAACAGCATTTGTTTAACAAGCTGGGCATTAAGGAACCACATCAGTCATATTTTCATTCCAAATTTGCCATTGGTTTACTGAGCAAAGTTCCTCCAGAGGAAAAAATCTGATTTCATAGAAGATCACACACACCAGCCCTAACAATCTGAGATGCTGTACTGAAAGTTGTCTGGAAATTCAGCATATTTTATGCAACTAAGTGCAAAGTGCTTTCCTCACAGCTGAGTACATGGAAAGCACAGAAGTATTATAAAAGAGAGAGATTACCAAAGATGTCTAGACATGAAGAAAGTATGACCTCAGTTAGAACACTCTGGTACTTACTTTCCCTTTCTAGAAAGGGATATACAGTGCTTCGTGATTCCAGTACGCAAGGCAGCGAGGTTTCTGAGCAGTTCGGCAAAAGTCCTCAATAGACTGCAGGTTGGGAAAAATTAAAAAGAAAAGATCTGAATGAAAATCACTGCTGAGAGAAAAATAGGAGGCAGCTACTTTTCATTCCATCGTGCAGATGGTGTTGATTGCATTTTAAAGGTATCCATATTAGAAAACAAACACAGCAAAACCGCCCGCAAAACCCCACCAACATTGTGGAGTTCCAATTATTTAGGAAGCATTTAAGTGGCAGTTGGCTGTGTAGCCTTACTGCAGACTCAATGTATACAGCAAACAGGAACTTTTTCTCAAATATTCTCAGTCCTCTACTTTGTTCTGATGAGACACCACCTGGAGTACTACATCAGATCCAAGGCCCCCACAAAGGAAGGACGTGTTGGAGCAAGTCCAGAGAAGGGCCACAAATATTAATACAGGGCTAGGGCGCCTATCCTGTGAAGACAAACTGAGATACTTGGGGTTGTTCAGCCTGGAAAAGAGAAGGCTCAGGGGAGACCTTAGAGCAGCTTTCCAGTACCTAAAGGGGCTACAAGAGAGCTGGAGAGAGACTTTTGGTGAGGATATTTAGTGATAGGACAAGGTGTAATGGCTTTAAACTGAAAGAATGTAGGTTTAGATTGCACATGAGGAAGAAATTCTTCACTGCAAGAGCTGTGAGACACTGGAACAGATTGCCCAGAGAACCTGTGGATGCCCCATCCCTGGAAGTGTTCAAGGCCAGGACTTTGAGCAACCTGGCCTAGTGCAAGATATCCCCGCCCATGGCAGGAGGGTTGGAACTAGATGATCCTTAATGTCCCTTCCAACTGAAACCACTCTATGATTCTGCTTTTCCATGACATATAGTTAGCAATTGATTTTTCACTTAATCTTGGATTCAGGGTCCCAGTCTTCCTTTCTTACATATTTAAATCTCTTACTATATTCAATTATTTTATATATTTTAATGGTACTCATTAAAATATTAGCTTATTGTACAGATGTGAAGTAGACTATGATTGTTGCTCTGCTGCTTCGAAGTCTAAGGATGGCACTGAGAGACATCTATTGACAGATGCGTTGACACTTTTTTTTTAGCGTAAGAAATTAACTGCAAACATTCTTTGTTTAATTTATTTCTAAAAAACCTAATCCATTTAGTTTGCTTGCTGATCACTTAACATATGTAACATCTCAGTGTATGGCTCAGTTTCAGTGTATGGCTCCTATCAGTTCCATTTGCGGTTATGTGTGCTGAGCCCATGTGCAAAAGGAGTATCCTAAACTGTGAGTTAGCTAGTAAGAAATGCAAAATTACCGGCTGACCGTCCTTGCGATATATGATGACTGCAACCAAGCAATACAGAAAAGCTCTGTGTGCTTTCTACATTGTCTCCTCAAGCTAACGCAGCTGCATGTAGCAGTCTGGCTGTAGAAGCTTCTGGTAGCCCTGGGGTTAACTCAGAGGGATGAATTCCCTTGTGCTGCTGCAGAATTGTTCCTGATGCCTGACCTGCTCAGTTATCTCTACATTATACACTTACCCACAGTAAACACACCCACAGTGTCAAAGACTGTAGTAGAACCTGTCTTGATTCTACGTGGGCAACCATTGTTTTGTTTTTAATCCCACAGTGTTTTTGTTTTGATCACACACCTTGAACTTCTGCAACGAATAGGGGAAGAGGTCTATAAAACTTCGTTTACAACACAGCTCCATTCAAAATACCATCCTGAGTCCCAAATTCAGACCGTGTTATGAGTGAGGTAAGGACACTGGTGAGAGAAAAAGTTATTGAATGTATACAAAATGTAATTAAATCCTGCATAATTGCTTACACAAAGAGCTGGTGAAGGCAAGAATGCAGGCTAATGTTCCTTTAATGTATTATCTTCAAATGTAGTGCCTTGGGGGGTTGTGTGTGTCTATGTAAACAAAGCAACAGCCAGAAATCCCAAATTATGGACAATACTGAACTCCTTAAGGTGGCAAAAGGCAAGTAGTTAAATTTGTTTTCATGATGTGTGATTACCAGGAGCCACAGCAGATTTCAGCAGGGGAAACCTACCAGAGAAGTCCTCTTGGCTGCAGATTACAAGATCTCTAAGGAGCTCTCTAGGAGTAGAGAAGGGTTATCAGAAAGAGATCACTTCCAGGCTGTGACAAACTTCTTGGCACAACCTAAAGGTAACTTTTCAGAGGTTTACAGCTAGTTTGATAAGATTTTCAGAAGGATATCATTAAGCACTTCTTCAGCAGTGAGGCTGAGCTTTTCTTAACCAGTAGGTTCTTGAGCCAGACCTTGAATGTGCCAAAACGTAACAGAGTAGTTTACACTCTAATAATCAGCAAAACAATATAACCTCTTAATCACAGTCCCAAAGATGGATGAAGTTTTCCAGGAAAAAACTTCATGTGCATGTCAGACATCTGAAATGAAAAACTACACCCTAAAAGCTACAAAGCTATCTGAAAGCAAGCAGCTCATAATTAGAATGCTTATCATCCAACACAGCAAAATAACCTTATTGGAAAGCCAGTTCAGTGAAACTATATTTTTCTTTAGTGTAAGGCAACAATTTTGATGACAATCTAGTCAGGAAAATGTCTCATCTCAGGATACTAACCAGTATCTGTGAAAGAAAAAGAAAAAAATATTAAATCCCCCTTCTTAGAGCGAGCCATAGTTATGCAAGTCTTACATTTTCATTGGGTAAGGTTTTGTGTAGAGGGGTTTGCAATTATATTTTTAAAACTAAATTGCACCTCAACATGTAAAGGAGCATTTAAAGGGTAGTTTTAAAAAGTCAAGAAGATCAATGCCTAGCCTCTTGAACTGGGAAATATTTAAAAACTAACTACTGATGATTCTGCCCATGCAAGCTCATGTAACTCATTTATTTGTTGCTACACAAAAGAGAACTGATGAGAACGACATAGGTTTAAAATACAATTCTCAATAAATAGAAATGAGGGAAGGTATTAATATCTCCCTCAAATATGTATATTTACCTTTAATATTAGTGTTCTTTATCTTTAATATTAGTGTGATTTCCATTTGTGCATGATAAAAGGATCAACATTCGAATTCTAAGGGTTAAATCTCGACATGGTTTCTTATGCTCACAAATAACTGTGGCAACAGTTTTGTAGAGCATGTTATTTGATAACACACAGACATTTAACTATCAGATTAACAGGTACATTGATGTATGTAGATGTTGACATATCCACATTTGCACCCATAATTACTTGCAGATGTGGACTAGGGGCACAAAAATGGCCATATTTTAGATACTACTCCTCAAGTCTACAGCATATTTTTATTCTAAAGCGATTTTTTTATGAGATTTTTTAAAAC